TAGGAAGCCTTCACATCGACATACACATCCTGGACATCACAAAAAAATCAACAAAAACATTTTTTTTAGGGAAGAGAAAACTGGACGTTCTGACTTTTCTGTGGGGGAAAAAAAGCAATAAATCAACATGTCACAGGCAGTCCAGTGCAGCTGGTCAGGAGCTCCATAAACGAATCAGTAGGGAATAAAGAACTATTTTAAGCTCTATACAGATGACAAAACCTGGCAGACTACAAACTAAACCTAAAATGAGGCAAGAATCGACCAAAGAGAGGAAACCAGGGAGGATTTATAAAAGCTAATAAAAACAAGCTCAGGAGAAGTTTACTGGCCAAAAGTCAGGGAAGCCAAATGCTCAGAGGGCATCATATTCTTCTCTTTTCCAAAACTACTTTTCTTTACCTTGTTAGAAAACACCCGGTCCCTCCCTATACGAGTCACAACTCAAAACATATCTATTCAAACATATCTGGTTTTTAATACGTAGCAGTGGTGTAACAATTTAATTATTTTGTTTCTTTGTAACCTTTTCTGATTTTCCTGTTTCTATGTTCACTCTTTCTATTGTATGATGTGATTGTACTCATTTTGTTTAGCACTTTGGATACCTTTTGGTTGTTGTAAAGTGCTATATAAATCAATTTTGATTGATTGAAGAGGGTGCTGATAAAGATACCGTTTTAAAGGAGAGCGTTGGAGTGCTTTGGCCCCCACAGAGGAGTTCTCCAGACGCCTGCCCCCAGACCGCCGTGCCCACGGTGGAGGTGTTGACAAAGGGAACAGACGAGCTCCACACTCTCAGCTCCGGAGTCGCCGTTTCCGCCAGACACTGAACGCAACACAAAGCCGTTAATCTCCTGTGACAAAGGTGCATCTTCACAGAAACATCTTTACAGGCCTTGATTTTTTTTTTACCTGTTCGATATACTCAGGCGTGGCACTGGAGAGACTCATCTTGAAGAGTTCCTAAATGGACATTCATAAATAAGACTCCTACATGAAACAACAATTGCTGACCACCATGCTGACGCTGGTTCACTTACTGTGAGTTCGTTTGATGAAATGTTGAGTTGGAAGCGGCCATCTTGGTGAGCAGCAGCAATCAGGGGGTTAAACAGCTCATCTGGGGTTAAAACACAACTATTACATTTAACCCTATAATGCCAAATGAATCATATTTGATCCATACGGTTTCTGAAATGTTTTGCGTCTGACACCTTTTGCATAATTTAATGGTAAAAACTTTTCTCAAAATCCTATTTTACACAATCAGATATACCTGATAACAGGTGGCAGAAGACTACACAAAAAATAATCTTGACTTATCGCATAGTAATAAATTATTAATATTAACAATGTATTTCTGTTTTTTCTTTTTACATATTTTGTTAAAAGGCCCAATAAGGAATTCAAACAAAAAAAAAGTTATTTTCTGTTTTGTTTTATTCTCGGATCAGGCTTTAAAGGGTTAAAGACAACAAAAAAATGCAACTGATCTAGAGGAGGAGCTTAATAAGTAAAACACTTTTGACTTTTTAACACACAAAATTAGATTTTTACTGAATTTCTATTTTATTCTTTACCTCATTTGAAAAAGGTTACACATGCTCACAACAGTGATTTTGCAGGTTGCGTCATTACACAACATTTTGCCTTCTGTGTGTATCCACAATTTCTGCACCAGTGTGAGATATTTCAAGTTTAAGTCATTGTGCATTTTGGCTGGAATGTTCCACAAAAACAGCCATCACATTAATTCCCAGAGGAACAGACAGAGTTTTGACTATTTTTGTTAGCTTGTGTTCAGGTACAGTGGCCTTACCTGAGAACCACAGGTAAAGCATCCTGTCTTCAGTCAGCTGACTTGGGTGGAACGCAGAGTTGTCGATCACGGAGGTTGTGTTTTTGTAGTTGGTCAGCCCCTGAAAGCGACAAACAAATGGGAAGAAAATACACTTTTGTGAGAAAAATGCAATTAAATGAGTATTTCGAAGATTTTTTTGTGTGAATTTAATACCAAAAACATACTGAAGTGTCTTTAGACACCAACAAATGGAAGTCTGTCACTCATTTTAGCCAAATAGCTTGCATGGGATGATTTAAAAAAGCATATTTTGACAGTTAATAACACAATTTTACAGGATAAATCCTGAAAGGTATGTTGGTGTGGGTTGACGGGCAGTTTTTCGGGTATTACTTACCTTGTGGTATGATTCTATATAGTTAGCGGTGATGACAGGAGCCGCGGTCACTCCGATGTCCACACTTATGTCTCCATCAGTGAGGAAGTGCGCTGTCAACACAAACCCAACAAACCGTGATGAACAAATGGGATGGATAGGCAAACATCCCATCCTTTTAGGTGCCTTTACACCTTAGTGAATCCACACTTTCTGAACTGAGGAAAAGGCTAACTGTGTCCACCTGCTGTGTCCTGTATGAAGTCGGCCAGGATGTCCGCCAGCTTGTTGATCTCCTTGCAAATCTGCATTTTTGGGACAGATTGCGAATTCTTTCAGTTTGGAAACACCAAAAAAAACAAAAAAACTGCCATCTTTTGCCCTCACCTGGCCTTTGATGACCAGCTTGACCGTGAAGGTGATGAAGTCGGTGAAGAGCTTCTTCAGCCAGTTCGGCCTGATCGGCGACAAACGGACACACAAAACAGGTCAGAACGGGTGTGCTTCATACGTGTAAGGGGCGTAGTTTGGAGGCTTACTGTTTGTCCCCCTGCAGGTGGAGGCGAAGCTTGTGAAAGGTCAGGTAACAGTCGGACGTGTCCGCCGCCACCTTCCCTTTGCCACAGTCTGATAAAGGAGGCAGGCGGAGATAAAAAAAAGGCAAGAAAACAGGACGTACGGAGATAAAACGAGATAGAAAAGACAGAAAATGAGTGTCTGACTATGTAATTATGCAACTTTTAAAGTCATCCTCGAAATTGGCCTTATGTAATGCTGGAATGAAGGCTTACATCTACAACAACATGTTGCCATCGGATTTTGGGTTGGTTTTTTAATAGTAATATCTATTCCATAAACTCATACTCTGAGTATTAAGTCGCTCCACTTCTTGAATGTTTGTTTGTTTGGGTTCTTATGCTTGTTTCTCTGTACTCGTCTTAAAATTGGGAATTTCTGTTACTGTTTGGGATTGTTATTATTATTATCTTCAATTCCTTGTCAAAGCTTTTGTGATTCGTTATGTCCCAAATCAATTTAGCATTTTTGGTTTCCCCGTTTCCAGACTGCACTTGTTTTGTTTTGGTAAATAAAGAGAATTTTTTCTTTTCTCGTCCATCGACGTTGCCCAGCATCTGTGTTTCACACAGCTTTTGATATAAAATTTGTATATTTGACTTGTTTGTGTTAAATACTGTTAACTATGAAGTACAGGCGCTTCAATGTTGTGGAAGAGTTTCTATTAAACGAGCTACTTACAAAGTTTTGGGTTGATTCCAAGATCAATCTGAGAATCAATCTCAAAGTCGAGAGTCTGTGCAACGTTGACACTACATACAAAAGACACACAAGAAACACAATACAACCAAACAAATGAGATTCTGTTGGCTTGCTGTACATTTATTGCAAACATTTGTGAACTATCATTAATGTAGCTGATAATGGTGACTCAAAGACCAAATATGTAAAAAATACAGAAAATGGAGGAAGCTACCAGCTAGTTACCGTAATTTAAACTAAAGGAAACAAAAAGAATTATACCTATAATTGGGTTGTGACATTGTATTATGACATAATGTGGCCTACTCTGTCAGAATTCAACTCATTATATTCTAACTAGGAGATTTTGGTTGTTTTTTTCTTCTTCTCCAGAATCAACATGTCTGAGACCATTGAAACTGGTCCTGAAATGAATCCACAAGTGGCTGATTACCGGTACGATTCGAAATACGTCGTATACTCACAGCCAGCTGCCGTATCCGTACTGGAGGGTCCCTTTAAAGATGGCCGACACGTTGCTGATCTCCAGGCCGATGCCTTTTCCCGGGAACAGCTCGAACTGACTCCGGCCAATCGACAGGTTGTGAATCTCCAAACTGGGAGGGTCACAGAAATAAAAGACTAGAAGAATGACGGGAACGATGAAACGTGTGTGTTTGGCGTGCGTCTTCACTCACTTGTCCAGGCCGTAGGAGACTTTTCCCACAAAGAGCAGGGACTTTTCTCCCTGCATGCTGGGGTATTTGGCATGTTGGAACGCTGCCTCGATGACTTTGGTGGTCTTCTCGTTCACTGCGATTAGAAGGACATACACACGGTGGCAGAGATGTTGCAGATTTGGTGTTCTGTAAAATACTTTTGCCTCCCTGAGGAACACCTGATGGTGTTTAACTGACAGTAGAGAGAGAACCCCCTCAGTGCCCCTGGACTCATTGTCTGTTACTCACAATTCAGTTCATATCGTTTGAAAAATACTTCAGAATCAGAATCAGAATCAGAAATACTTTAATAATCCCAGAGGGAAATTATTTATTAATATCCAAGATAAAATCCAATCACAAAGTAAAGTATTGATCCAATAGTCCATTCATTCATCCATTCCTCCAATAACGAAGCCCAACTGGTAAATGTCTGGAAAGTTGAAACCTTCCGAAGTCACAACGAGTGGACTGAACTCAGATGGTGACATCACACAGGTAACCTCTTTCTAGGAATCCATTGCCATTGGTTTATTGTCAGAAAAAGTTCCAGAGCAACAGGCAGAAAGTGTAACAGCACTGCAGCCTCCAAACCAGCAGAAACAAATCAGAAAAATGCTGATTAAGAGTGAAAAAACGAGAACAAAAACCAGACTTTGACTTTGATCCGCACTCTAATCTGATTCATCCTTAAAAAACGCTTTGCTAACATGAAATTGAATCTGACGTTACCTTTTTTTAATTGTGTTTCCCTGCTCTGGCAAACGTCTGAAAATGTCCACATGCATTTATGATGTAATCTACAAATGTCAGCCCTGTTTACCACTTTAGCCCTGAGGCTGAAAATCAACAGAAAACCCACTGAAGACATTCTAAAGGGCATTTTCATTTCTTAATTCAAATGAACACAAGTGTAGCTTCTGAAATCGAAATGCTACTTAAAATATTTGTAATAAACTGAGCCAGGACTCACACACAACAGCAGCAGGGTAGGTGAGTCTGCACACAGTCCCGGTGAACCTGTAGGCCGAGGCCGGGTCCTGCAGGCAGCCCCGGGTCACCCCGAACAGAGCCAGGAGCAGCAGCGGGGGGAGGAAATCACCGGGCATCCTGCTTGGTTGAGGTTTTTTAACCCCCTCGCCTTTTTCCCAGATCCAAAGTTTTGATTCCTTTTGCTTTGAAAAAGTGAGCTTACAGACCAACGGCCAACGGAGGGTTCTGTGTCCCGAAAATAGTGAGGTGACCCGATCAGAGAGAGAGGAAACCTGACTGATTTACACATGAAACAGAAAGACAAACACTGACTCAGATTGGACCAAAAAACCTGGTCAAAGTGCAGCCTTTCGGCAATGTGAGAGCTAAAGAACTCAAGCTGAAACTACAAAATCAAGCAGAATGACACGAATGT